GTCCTTGACGACAGAAAGGACACACATTGTAAGGATGGGGTGGATGAGCGCATGGAAGACCTAACTGGGCATTCTCAAAACAACAACTGCCACGACGGCTGGCATTAAGCATGCCAACCATACATTCCTCACAAATAGCATGTCTATAGCAGTATGCAATCAGACTCGTTCTCATTCACACTTTTCATACATGTAAACAGTAGCGCAGCAAACTGGCGACATGCGCCCACTCAAAACTCAGAGATATGGCATCCAGATACGAGTTCACTTTCAACTGGCTATGGCGACTCAGCGCCCAAACAACTCACTGTTCACATACACTGGATCACCCTGGATATCCCACACGCGAACCTATGAACTCTCACACACACACACTGCACTCATCTACAGCTACGGCGGCACTAGCCGCTGCTACCCTATCGCTATGCTAAGCTCCTCCTCTCTCGCCCACTGCGTCCTCCGGGCTCACTGCAGACCTCCTTGCACAAGTCGCTGTGACAGCACTTCCGCATGGCTCACGCAGGAATGAATGAAAGGCTCGACGCTGCCTCTTGATTTATACTTCTGAAGTTCGGTGGTCTCCCCTTTTCCATCGGCCCATGGTGCTCACAGTCCCTCTTGGTACTTGCTGGACCGAACTGGGACTGACTGGACCTTACCGCTGACTGACTGTGGACTCACTGCTATCCTACCGTAGTCGTACTGCAATTGCACTGCAGTTTAGTCCACCACTTGACTCACCACTTGCCCACTGGCCCACTTGCTGACCTTCTAGAAGGACGACAGCTAGGATTCTGGAACTCGCTAAGACTTCTATTCTATAGATCTACAGATCGAACCCCTACTACCCTTGGACCTAGAACAACCTACCAACTGTTTACGAATACACAGGTCACAGCTTCAGCTCTCGGGGTCTACACAGGTACTGTACATGGGTAGGGTGAGGTCTAGGGATTGAGCCCTGGATACTGCGTCTGCTACTGCAAAAGGTGAAAACCGTTTCACTCCCGCCATCCTGAATTCGAGGTCCTCTGAGAACATTTCAGTCCAAGGCAGGACCTTTACCCTTCTTATCACGCTCATAGGCTCTGACTATGTCGGGAGCTGTCTCTAGAAGTTCCGTTCTTGTGAACCAGCGGTCGTCTTCCGGTTCCTGATAGGCAAACCGGACCTTGTACTGCTTCTGGGGACGACCTCTACCTCCTGTTCTAAACACATCTTCATCTACAATGCCTTCTATGTCATAGCTCCCATCAATATCCGGGGGGATCATGGATCTTCTTGAAGGGAACTGTTGACTTGTGACACACGGCAACCGCTTTGAGGCATGGCACACCGGGTAGGTGTGGAGGTGTGCTGGAATCTCAATACGGTAGGACGGTCCATCCTCTCCGCCCTTGACTTCTAGAACCGGCCACGGTCCTCTATATGCGGGCAGTAACTTCTGCGAGATGTTTTCCTCAGGTGCAAACTCTCTAGCCTTGACCCAGACTAAGTCGCCTACCTGAAACTGCGACGGGCGACGGTGCTTATTAGCCTGTTCTATCATTCTATGCTGGGCCTTCTTGAGGTTCTCTACAACGGTTGCTAGTTCTTTCTCGTGCTGTATCGCGAACTCCCTGGTACAGGGCGGTAACCTGTGAATCTGATCCCGGTCCAGTCCTTC